AATGGACTCTCACATGGTCAACCAGGGTTCAAGTCTCGGCCTGGAAGTTTGAAAATCATGCTAATGTGGGTGGGTTCATATTCAAAAACCCAAGAAGAGAATGTAGGAGAAAGCACTGTGATATGGCCATCACCCCTGAAGGGTGAATTCTCACTTTTCCTCTTTCTGTCTCTCTCTGGTGAACAAATGTGCACTATGACATAAACAAATGAAAAAACAAAAACAAAGACAAAGCAGGTTGTTACTCGGAAGAAGCTCTTTAACTTAATGTAATCCTACTTGTCTATTTTCAGGATTCTTACCCGTGCTTTGGAGTCTTACTTAAGAGAGACCTGCCTACTCCAATGTCTCAAAGAGTTTCCTCTGTGTTTTCCACCATGAGTCTTATGGTTAAATCTATGATCCATTTTGAGTTGATTTTTGTTAGTAATGAGACTTAGGGGTTAAGTTTATTTTTCTACATGTGGATATCCAGTTTTTCCAGCGCCATTTGCTGAAGAGATTTTCCACGGGATTATATTAATTATAGTCAAGATACAACCCTCATAATAGGAGAATACATTTGCAAACTCTGCCTCAGATAAGGGAACAATAGCCAGAATATGCAGGGAACTCAAGCACCTTACCCTCAAGAAACAATCCAAGTAAAAGATGGGCCAATGAGGTAAACAGAAAACTCTTCAAAAAAGATACATGAGGGGTGAGCCTGTGCTAGGGGCTTGGGAACAACTTTGGGAGTTTTCGCACACAATCGCCCACCAGTCTGGAAACCTGGCCTTACACCACCTATCACTCACTGGGATATTTAAGCGTGGTCTGAGAAGATCTCCTTAGATGATCCTAAACTCAGAGCTTTGGAACAACTATGACACTTTCTGCACATTGTTGCCCTCCGCTCTGGTAGCCTGGACTCACCTCACCCACCAGAGTACTTAAGCCTCTGGGCAAGCCTCCTTTGGTGAGCTCACAGTCAAGGCTTGGGAGCAATTTTGAGATTTTCTCTCTACTGTCACACACCACACCATTGACTTGAACTGGCCCACCTGCTGCCCACTGGAATACTTAAGCCTGCTCTGGGCAAGCTTCCTTGAGTGAGCCTGTGCTTGTGGCTTGGAAGCTATGTAGGGACTTTAGGTATATCAACCCCGGTGACTCTCTTCACTAGGTTATCTCGCCTTAGCTTGATACCACCTCATCAAGAGCTGAAAATTTAGCAGAGAAGTCAATCACCTGAAGTTACTCCTAATTGTTCTAACCTTGTAGAAATGGCCCTCTAGTAGAAACGCAGCTGGAAACTAAGGGTATAGTTTTCACCACCAATACTACAGAATCGATTCCAATAAACAGAAAAAAGTGAATACTGCATCAGATAACTAGAAACCAGCACAATCCCATAAAAACATTAGAAAACAAGGTGTTAACTCTCACTCAGTTGAGCTTAGTAGCCTCTCATCAACAGTGGATAACACAGAAAAATACACAGAACATTCATAGTGACAAAACTCAGTAAGATACAAGAGAAAACAATCAGTTACAGGAAATGAGAAAATCATTTCAGGACATGAAAGAGGAATTTTGTAATGAAATAGATACCCTAAAAAAGAATCAAACAGAACTTTTGGAAATAAAGTGTACAATACAACAAAATTAAGCTTCCCTAGAAAGCATTTAAGCATATCAGACCACACAGAAGAAATAATTTCTGACCTGGAAGACAAAGTCTCATGCACAGACCAAATTACCAAAAAGAAAAAAGAAAACAACTCCCTCCCCCCAAAAAAAAGGACAATATATGGGGAATTCTAGACAACATGAAATGTTCAAATATCCATATAATGGGTATTCAAGAAAGTGTAGAATCTGCTAAAGGTATGGAACATCTCTTTTAGAAAATACTATATGTACATTTTCAAAATATAGAAAAACATGGAGAAATTCAGAGTCAAGAAATAAAAAGGACTCCAAATAGAATCAACATAAAAAGATCCTCCCCTGGAACATCATAGCCAGATTGATAAAAAAGACAAAGACAATATTCTAAAAATAACAAGGGGAAAATGTTTATAATAGGAAGATGTGTTTCTTATAAAGGTTACCACATTAGGCTAACATTAGATCTCTCAACTGAAGCAATACAGGCAAGGAAAGAATAGGAAGATGTATTCAAAACATTAAAAGAAAAGCAATTACAAAGAAGAATATATCCAGCAAGATTATCCTTCAAATGGGAAGAACAAATAAAAGTATTATCAGATAAACAGAAATGGAAAGAATTCACCAATAAAAGACCAGTTCTACAAGAAGTAATGAGGGGATGGTTGTATCAGGAAAACAATAGAGATACAAACAGTAACAGGAGGAAAACAATAACAGAGAAAAATCACTAAAAATGTAACAGGGATAAATCTGGAAATATCAATAATAACATTGAATGTTAATGGATTAAATTTTGCCATTGAAAGACAGATACTGAGTAAATGGGTAACAAAGCAGAATTAATCTATATGCTGCTTACAAGAAACATACCTCACTGCTAAGGACATACATAGACTGAAAGTGAAAGGGCTGGAAAAAAGATACTCTGTGGAAATGGAAACCAAATAAAGGCTGGAGTAGGGGTACAGATATCAGACAAAATAGAATTTAAGATGAAAGATATAAGAAAAGACAAAGAAGGGCATTATTTAGTACCTAAATGACTTGTTCATCAAGAAGATATAACACTTGTACATATCTATGCACCTAACACTGGAGCACCTAAATACATCAAAGAGAGACTGTTGGATCTCAAGGGACAGATAGACTGCAATACAATAATTGAATGGAACCTCAGCATCTCACTGATTCCTCTAAGACAGAATATCTAGACAAAAACCAAATAAAAAACAAACAGAAGATCTAAATGATACCATATACGAAATGGATTTGACAAATATTTACCGAGCATTTTACCCAATTACCTCAAAATATACATTTTTCTCACCATCACATTGAACATTTTAGAAGATTGACCACATAGAACACAAAAGAAGCCTTTACAAATCCAAAGGTATAGAAACTATATCTAGCATTTTTTCTGACCATGATGGAATCAAACTAGAATTCGACTACAGAAAAGAGCCCTTGAAAATTCAAAAACACTTTGAAACTAAACAATCTATTCCTGAGTGACTTTACAACAATAGAACAAATAAAGACTGAAATCAAAAGGTTCATAGAAACCAATGATAATGAACAAAAAAGTGTTTATAGCATATGGGACACAGCAAACCAGTCAAAAGAGAAAAGTTTATAGCAATTAGTGCCCACTAGAGAAAAAGCAGAAAGGTGGCAAATAAATAACCTCATGACAGAACTCAGGGAAGTGGAAAGACAACCACAGAAATTCCCAACACACTCCAGTAGAAAATAAATAATAAAGATTCGAGCAGAAATAAATTAAATAGAGAATAAAAGAACTAAACAGAAAATAAATGTCAAAGCTGGTTCTTTGAGAAGCTAAACAAACTTTACACACTGTTAGATTAATGAACAAGAACGTAGAAAGGAACCAGATAAATCAAATAAACAAGGAAACAGGCATTATTACAAAGAGTATAACAGAAATACAAAGTATCATAAGATATTACTATGAACAGCTATATGCCAACAATCAAAAATAAAAAATACTACAAATAGAACTACCATATGAGACAGTAATTCCATTCAGGTATTTATCCAAAGAATAGTAAAACCCTCCGTCAGAAAAACACTTGTACACCAATGTCTATTGCAGCATTTTTACAATTTCTAGGACATAGAATCAACAAAAATGTCCAAAAATAGATAATTGCACTGAAAAAAATGTGGCATATATAATCTATGGAATAGTACTCAACCATAAAAAAAGACTATGGGACCAGCAGTTAGCTTAATGGCTATGTTGCTGAATTCCCATGTAGTTGACCGCGGTTCAAATCCTGGACCCAGTGGCTTGGACTCACGCCCAGCACGCATGTGTGTGTGCCCAAGATCCTGAGAGGAAAATGGAGGAGACGAGATTGTGGCGTGGCCATCTCCCTTGTGGGGTGATTTCTCAGTTTCTGTCTCTCTGTCTGTCTCTATCTTTCTGGTGAGCGCATGCACCCTATAGCAAAAACCTCTGATAAAAGGTGGTGGATGAATATAGAAGATTTAATATTAAGGAAGCATACAAGACTATGAAAGACAGACTTTGTATGCCTTTATTCAATATATACTGGTTGTCAGAACTCTATAGCAGAAAGGAAAAGGTTGGAATGTATAGAAGCAGGGAGGACAATGGTAGATACTAGTGAAAGTAAGGATGGGGTAATATGGGTGGGCAATAGAGTGAGGGAGGAGAACAGGGAATAAATATCAGTGTTGGAGGACTATGGGCAATGGGGGTCAGGAGGGAGAAAATCAAGAGTAAAAAAGAAGCAAACCATTTAATGGGCACAAAAATGGAAAATTACGTGTTCATGATAATCTGTATGGTACTATCACTGACTGAACTGATATACAATGTATTTACTCTGGGAAAGTTCATTTTGTGGGTTGTAATGTTGTACAATGATTAAATGTAAATAAATAAATAAGAAGAGAAAAAAAAAAGAAAGAAAACACTTTCTGGGGACAATGGTCATATCACAACCCCTTTTTCTCCATTCTTGGATTTTAGGCAAGAATTTTCCCTTTGCTTTTAAAGCTGCTGGGACTGAGAGTCCACATATACAGTGGGTCTTGTGGGATCCTGCTGCCTTAAACACTACACCACTGGTTGGTCTAATATTTGAAAGTCTAAATTACCAGTGGCAGGATTCTCTAAATAAATATGACAATTATACATACACTTTACTTCTTGTTAAATTTTTTTTTTACTTTTTCCCAGATCTTGTTGATCTCTCAAAGAAAACATGGTCATGATATTTTATTTTAATAAAATACCTCCAAATGTTATTAGGTGCTTAATGTATTCACTGGTTGTGAAAGATGTTTACCTGCCAGAGTAGAAACACAGGCTGGTCTGCATCTCCTGGAGATCTCATTTGTATTTTCTGCAAAATCAGCTGATGAAGGGCTTGGGCCACCATATACACAGCATGATAGATAAAGAAACTGGAGTCAGACACAGTCATCATGTCCAAATAATGTGGCACAAACTCTAAGGAAGAATTTGGTGGGCAGTATTCAATTTTGCCACATTGTGAATCAGCAAGTGAACAATTAAAAAATGAAATCCATAATTTAGTAAAGTAAAAGTCTTCTGGGTATTTAAAAGGTTGGATTATCTTCAAAAATTGTTTGAAGCCAGGAATTTTCTTTTTCTGAGTTGAAAATAAGAAGCTTCCATGGAAAAAGTATGGCTTGTTATTCATGATGTTCAAAAGGTGTTCCCACTGTGATGAGTGGAGATTTCTCATAATCCATACCTTCCCCAAAATTAAATTGAATTCTTTTGCCATTACCAGACTCCAGACACTCCCTTCATCACCAAGTATTATATACACATTTGCAGTTGAAACTCTGATCCTAGTCCTAAATCTGAAATTACGCAATGTGTTGACACCTGTTGTGGGAGGGAGTGTTTCTTTAAAGGCCATACAGATATCCTTTTTTATCATCTCTGCCATTAGATCCTGAAAAATCTCCTCTGCTTTTATATCATTAGACACATAGACTGCCACCCACGTCCAGCCAAAATGCAGCAACAACCAGATGACCCCATGAGACCAAGAGGTGTCCTTGATGGCCATCTGATAAACTGATGGAAACTGGTTTTTATCACTTAGAATGGGATCAAAGGGACCATAAGTGACCTGAATAAGAAAAGAAGTAGCCTGATTATGAACTTAGTGGAATTTGGAACTGTTCCCTTAAAGAGGGGTAGATCATTCTCTACTTGATAAAACTGCACAATAGAATATAGGGCAGAAAGAAAGTCTGCATAGAAATGACTATTTTCTCCTTCTGGAAATTAGAATATTGTGTCTTAGGACCATTGCTATTAGGAAAGAGCATGTTACTTGTCCAGATCAAGATAGCAATCCAAACCAAAGCACAACAAAGTGTAAATTTGAATATACTTTTCATCTTCTACAGTGAGAATTGAAAAATACATAAACTTTATTAAAATAGTGAAATATCAAGATGTTGGCGATTTTGCTATCTGGGTTCATATGACTTGTGGACTGGAGTCTCTTTGCCCTAATAACCAATGTTAAATGAGAACTCTGAGGGAAAAAAAATTATTGTAGTGATCTTATCATGAAAGCATAGTATATGTATTCTTAAAAAATATAATCACTTGCCCTCTCTCATATTTCTAAAATATAACTTTTCCAGAATGTAATTCTCAAAAGCTAATGCTGTCTTTGTTTAGTAGTAATGTCACCTGAAGCTGTTTATGTTAGTTTCTCTAGAAAGAATATCTGGGGTGCAGAGTTATTATGTGGACAGTAACTAGAAGTACTTTCAGGAGATCTACCTGTGTGACAGTGAGGAAGTGCAGAGGAAGCTGGCAAAGCACAGAACCGCAGCCAAATTGGGAGATCTCCAGAGCTGGAATGTTTTTACACATTTATCCCAAATGAAAGTCAAGTGGAACAATCTTTATACCTATAGAATTAATTGCATTGTCCTCTAAGAGCCCTTGATATTTCCCATTCTAAGATGGCGTATATCCCTGTGCTATGTGGATAAAAGTGGTACGTACTTTTTATCTTATAATAGTTACTAGCATTTATTTAGCACATACTGTTTGTTATATAAGGTGCTAGATATTTTAGAAGCATTAGCTTATTCAATTCTACAGGAATCCTACACTGATCTCTCTTTTAAAATTTCTCTATTTCTTTCTCCCTAATTTCCTTCTCTGTATCCTCCCCTTCTCCCACCCTCCTTCCACACTATCTAGAGTGTCTATATATATTTTCACTGCGTTCAGGCCCTCCAACCTTTCAGTCTCTATCATGAAGGAAGACAGTCAGTATAGATTGAGTGGAGACATACAATGTCTTTTTTTCATAGTGTGGTTTACTTCACATAGCAATAAATCTTCCATATTCAATAACTTTCTATCAAATGCCAGGTCTTGTTTGTTTATTTATTTATTTATTTATTTATTTTTATTTACACACACACACACACACACACACACACACACACATCATGAATAATGCCACAATAGACTTCGATGTACAAAACCTTTTCTGACTGAGTATTCTCCTGTCCTTTGGGTAGGTACCCAGGGACATATGGTAATGGATCATATGGTAATTATATTTGTAAATCTTTGAGGAATCTCTATATTGTTTTCCACAGTGCCTGGACAAATTTACATTCCAACCAACTGTGTAGGAGAGTTCCTCTTTCATCACAACCCCACCAACACTTACCATTTTTAACATTTTTAATCTTTGCCTTTCTGACACGAGTTAGATGGTATCTCAATGTGATTTTAATCTACATATCCCTTATGATGGGAGATTTTGAACATTTCCTCATGTGTTTTTTGGCTGTTCATCTGTCTTCCTTAGAGAGATTTTGTTCAGCTCATTTTCTCATTATTTAATTGGTTTAATCATTTGTTTGGGAGTAAGCCACTTGAGTTCCTTGTGTATTCTGGTTATCAGTCCCTTATCTGTTTTAAAAGCTGTTTTAAAAAGCATTCTATCATTTAGAGGGTTGTCAACTCATTCTATTTACTGTGTTTTATGCTGTGTAAAAATGTCTTAATCTGATGTGATCTCACTTGCCTATTTTAGGGATTATTGCCTGTGCTTTGAGAACCTTATATAAGAAGTCTTAATAAGGTTCTGTCTCCCAGAGTTCCCCCTATGTGTTACACCAGAAGTTTTATAGTTTGATGTCTTAGGTTCAGATCTTTGATTCATATTGAGTCTTTTTTTTTTTAAATGATGAAAGATGGGGACCAAGTTTCATCATACTGCAATTGGATACCCAGGTTTTCCAGCATCATTTGCTAAAAAGATTCTCCTTTTCCCACTTGACTGATTGGGATCCATTGTCAAAAATCAGGTGGATTGGGACCAGCATTTAGCGTAATGGCTATGTTGCTGGACTCCCATGTAGTCGACTGTGGTTCCAGTCCCAGACCTGGTGGCTTGAACTCTCATCGGGCATGTGTGCATGTGTGCCCAAGACCCCAAGAGGAGAATGAAGGAGAAGGAATTGTGGGGTGATTTCTCACTTTCTGTCTCTTTGTCTCTCTCTGTCTCTCTGGCAAGCGCACACTCCCTATAGCAAAAACCCCTCAGGAAAGAAAAACAAAAGAAAAAAAAGAAAAAAAAGAAAATCAGGTGGATATATGTTTGGGGGTTTATTTCTGGGATCTCCATTCTGTTCAATTGGTCCATCTATCTGATTTTGTGGCAATATCATTCTGTTTTGATTATCACAGCTTTACAGTGTATTTTGGTGTCAGGGGATATGATGCCACCCACTGCACTCTTCTTATGCAGGATGGCTTTGGCAATGAGATCTTTTGTAATTCCAGACAAATTATATGATTATCTTTTGTAGATATGTAAAAACAGCTCTGGTACTTTATTGGAATTGTGTTAAAAATGTAGAATACTTTGGGTAGGATTTCTATTTTGATTATGTTAATTCTTCCAATCCAGGAGCATGGGATGTCCTTCCACTTTTTTTGTAATATTTTCAATATCTTTTTAAAGATTTTCATAGTTTTCTTTGTAAAGATCTTTGACTTCCTAATTAGGTTTATTCCTAGGTACTTACACATTTTGTGACTGTGGTAAAAGGGATTCCATTCTTTAGTTCTACTTTGGTCAACTTGTTGCTGGTATATAGAAATGGTATAGATTTTTGGATGTTGAATTTGTATTCTGATACTTTACTGTATTCATCTACTTCAAGAAGATTTTTCATGGAAACCTTTGTGTCTTCTAAGTATTACATCATGCCATCTGCAAATAAAGATATTTCCAACTCTTCTTTGCCTATTTGAATGCCTTTTATATTATTCTCTTTTCTAATTGCATTGGCTAGGACTTCCACCACTATACTGAAAAGGGGTGGAGAAATTGGGTAACCTGTCTTCTACCAGTTTTCAGTCCAAAAGCTTTCAGCTTTTTCCCATTCAGTATGTTAACTATAGGTTTTTCATATATGGCTTTTATTATGTTGAGAAATGACCCTTCTATGTCAATCTTCCTAAGAGTCTTACTCATGAAATGATGTTGTATATTGTTGAATACTTCTTCTGCATAGGTTGAAATGACCATACATTTTTTCTGTTAATATGGTGTATTAATTTTTATGGTCTTGTGTATGTTGAACTAGCATTCATGGAATAAAGTCTTCCTGTTCATGATGCATAATCTTATATGTTGTTAGATACAATTTGAAAGTATTTTGTTGAGAATTTTTGCATCTATGTTCATCAAAGATATTGGTCTGTAGTTTTCCTTTTTTGTCATATCTTTATCTGTTTGGGGAATGAGGGTGATAGAGG